GTCGTCGTCGTCGTCGTCGTCGTCGTCGTCGTCGTCGTCGTCGTCGTGGTCGTCGTGGTCGTGGTGGTCGTGGTGGTCGTGGTGGTCGTGGTGGTCGTGGTGGTCGTGGTCGTCGTCCAGGTACATCTCTCTTTCTCTCCTCGTCTCCTGTCTCTGTCTCTGGAAGAGGTTGTTGTTGCTGTTGTTCTTGTTGTTCTTGTGCTTATGTAGATGTGGATGTAGTAGTAGTTGTTGTTGTTGTAGTAGTAGGAGGAGTAGGAGTAGGAGTAGGAGTAGCAGTAATGGACGGCCACTTGGGCATCGCACCACAGGCCCTTGAAAACAGCTATGTTGATGCTATCTGGGTACCCCTCGTTTTTCTGTTGATCCATCGAACATCATGTCGACAAAGTTCGACCAAAATGCCTTTGCCCAGAGCGTGGTCGGCGGCAGGGGGCGGCGCCCATGTTACCTAAAGGTACAGGCCTGAACGGCCTGAAGCCTTTGGCGACAAACAGGGCCTGCTGGCCCGATTTTGGAGGCCATCGCTGGTAGGTTGAAGGCCGTTGCAAAGACTGTCCCTTTAAGTATCAGCAGAGCCATGTTTTGAGTCCCAGCTTTCAGTAGATACTCGCGGTGAATTCTCTTGATCAACAGTTTGCCATTTACATCATTCTGCACAGCCAAAGCCCTTTCCTTGAGAGTCACTTGTTTGGAAACACATACTCATGCGAAGACTAAGAATCAACGGCGGCCTGTGGGCTTGGAAGAAATTCACTCGTCAAACTTATCCAACCAAAAAGAGGACTAGACTCGGAGGGGATACAGATTTGCCAATTTCCGTCCCCCGGAAGTTTCAGCGCTTCAAAATACTGAGGCGCTGTTTCTCAACGAGAGCACATCACCCCACCTGCCCCCATCATGTTTGGCCAGTACAAAGGAACAAATTTGCAAGAAACTGGGGCTAGATATTAGCTAGAAACCAGCCCAATCGGTGATATGGATTGCAGAGGAGGTTTCATGATGTTTCATCCAGACAACTGGAGGGGTGAAGTCTCGCCATTGGGACCAGTTCGCGGATCCGTTCGTGACAAGGACTTGGCACTGAAGCGGAATGGTGCAGTTCGCCCTCGAAGTGCGCAGGTGGATTCCTGCCACTCGTGGACCACCCGTGGAATTCTGCGGGCGGAAGAGGGTCTCCTGGGTGGAAGAGTGGAGAAATATGTTTGTTATTTGTGTCACCACCACACCCAGAAGATGGGAGTGCTTGAAATCAGAGTTGCGGAAAATTCTGGCTCTATCAAGGTACCCTTCAAACATCTCTTAGAATCTGTTTTGGTCTTGGAACGGAATGCCGAATGGAAGGGCTCCGCAGAATTGGTGCCGTCACAACTCCCCGGTTCGTGGCCCACTGGTTTAATAGCCGGGTCATCCCGAACAGCCATTGTTTTACTAAGGATTGTTGCACGACAAAACCAGGTCATGTTTTTTTCACATGGTCTTCGAGCTGTGGGGCCTAGCTAGGGACTCAGGCTTCGTAGGAAACTGACGCAGGTTGTTTGAGGAATTGGGAAGAAGATGTTGCAGCAACACGTTGGAAGCCTTTTTTTGAAGTGCCATGCAGTTCTGGAGATGCTCAGAGTGTGGGTTTCTGAACACTTCTTGCAGCTCATCATTTGGTTGAAATTCACCAAGTGGGAGGTTTTAAGTTGGTACCTTCATTTTTGCTCAGAATTCTTGCCACAATTCCTCCAGGATACAGGCCCAGGCCTAAACCATGTCAGCTAAGGTCAGTGGAATTACAACAGTTTCCATGGAAGCTTCAAGTGGAGGCTGCACCAGAGAGGAGAGCAGAGCAGATGTTTCATTCCGTCAATCTGCGGCTAGATATTGCTAACTGTGGCTTGTTTGTTTCAAGCAAACCGTGAATTGGGTACCCAGGACCCACATATTGCAAAAAGACAAAGAAATGCCTTTCTGATGCTGTTTGTAGGGAGTGCTTACGCACATGGGATAAAAGACCCCTGCTTTCACACGCTTTGTTTGACATGGAAACTCGTAGATGAGGTTGAGAAGAAAGTATTCAAATGCTCCTAGTAGCTTCTTGTTCCTAGTAGTATGGCCAAGAGCCCCTAGTAGCGTCCGATCGCTCCGTTCGTAGCGATGCCCTTTGCTCCCTTCGTAGCGAACCTTGCTCTTAGTTACTAGTTCCGCCACCTTCGAGCAGTTCGGCTCCCTGGCGTCCTCAGATACTTGGACGAAAGCAGCTACTTCGCGGCCATGCCCGAAGAGTGGCGCCGACAGGCACCGAGACCTCGGGGTGATCGGTCCTGGAAGATCACCGAAGAGCCAACGGAACCTACTAGTGATGGCCTACGGAACCTAGCATCAAAGCAGATCACCAGCCAGTGTGAAGTCGCAGCGTGAAGTCGCAGCGTGAAGTCGCAGCGTGAAGTCGCAGTGAAGTTTTTTGCCGGCAATTCTTTGGGAAGTATAGAAATCTGCACTTCTTCAAATTGCTTTGTATCGAACAAGTGTCTTTGCTTCGAACAACTTGACACGGATGGAACAGTGTCTTTGCACCACAAGAGGCTTTAGCATGACCCAATGGTAGCCCCTTTCTGAGACATAGGCCTTTAACCCAAGCCTTAGAAGGAACTTTACACCTTTCAGGCGGTAGCGTGTGGCCGCGTAAAGCGACAAGCGCGCAGGTGGAATCGTTTCATCGTCGAGTAACCTGGACCTTTCCCTGCGACTTCACCGTGAAAAAGCCCGTGCCATGGCATCACAGGGCTGATCAACGCCCCAAGGACTCCTGCGACGATGCACAGTGATTCTCCGCGACGATCTACACCACCATAACTCTGCCTGGATCAGTCCTCTTTTTAGTCTGTCAAGCATGCTGAGTGGCATGAGATGTATATACATTAATATATACTATATATATACCCTAGACTTCCAAGACCACAAAAACAATGGTTGACCTGGTTTTTGTAGTGTAAAATCCTTAGTTGATTCGCTAAAACCTATTTAATTAATGGTTGTTGGAAGCCTAGGGTATATATACACGGTTGGTGGGTCGCTTGTGCACCGCGGAATTGTCTCGCTTGTGCACCGCGGATTTGTCTCGCTTATGCACCGCAAGCTGCCATTATATCCCCACCCACCCCCACCCCCCCACCCCACCACCCGGATGTAAGATGTGATGATGTGGCCGCAAGCCGATCATTCCAATCCGACCCCACGGACGTAAGATGTGATGATGTGGCCGTGGGCCAATCATTCCATTAGATCCCCCCCACCCCACCCCACCCGGATATAAGATGTGATGATGTGATCAGGAGATTCGTGGCGCGTAAGTGAGCATGGCTGTGGACGTGGACCTGGGGTGGTTGAGTCATTTTGGCAACCCTTACAGCAGCTTTGAGCTCCGTGATGCGTAAGTGATCCAATTTTGTGGTGCGTAAGTGAGCGAAAATGCTGTGGTGCGCAAGTGAGACAAATCTGTGGTGCGTAAGTGATCCACCGCCCTATATACACCTTTTAAATATATCCTATCCTAGCAGCCTTTTGAGGCTTGACAAACATCGATATGATGATGGACGAGGCCAGAGAGGTGTCCACTCGACCTAGGTGCTGGTGCACCACATGGACGAAGCCATCGAAGGCTACTTGGAACACCTACAGCAGCAACATCCGAGTCTCGGCAGCCGGCAGCCGGTGTCGCCCCTGAGGTGTCGCCTAGTAGCGTCCGATCGCTCCTAGTAGCGATGCCAGGAGCCCCTAGTAGCCAACATTGCTCCTAGTAGTAAGGCCAGGAGCCCCTAGTAGCGTCCTAGGTGACTTGCAAGATCATTTGGCACTTTGATTTTTGGTCTTGCAATTGATGTGCCCCGCTTCTTCTCAGGAATCAGACCACAGTGCTCCTGCCGCGAAAAGATACCTGCGCAATTGCTGGGCAGGGGGATGTGGGGCCATTGGACAACAGACGCCATGTTGGTTTGGAATCAAGCTCAGTATGCAGCCTTCAGAAGCACCAGCGTTCATCAAGTTGAGAAACCAGGCCCAGAATTCCAATGTGTAATTTTCTATCTTCTGCGTTAGTCATCAAACCTTAACAGGCTGTTGTTTTTCAACCAAGCCCAAAGATGCAGACAGTCGCTGGGGAGCTACAAGCCCTACGCTAAACAAGATTGCACAGTGCATGTTTGTTAGTTGATGGTTTGTGCCGGGTTGCCTGTGGTAACACCCTGCTTGATGTGGGGGGATTCTTCCGAGCCCCTCACCATCAACCGATGATTGATGTTCCAGTGTTTTTGTTCCATGACGATTGGTTTGAACAGGTTTGAACTTCCCATGATGCTTGAGGTGAGACATGGTGATACAAGATCAGTTGTCATATTCTCCAATCAAGGATTTCGTTTGAAAGGTCTGCGCAAGTTCAGAGACTACATTGTGGTGACCTTGGGACAAGGACTTCCAGGTTTTGATAGAAAAACCCAAGGGTGGTATGTTCATACTAGCATTCTTGAAGGTGTAAAGACAAAACGTAGCTCTTGGTACACAGAGTTCGACACCCTTTGCCTGCCTGAGATTTGTGAGGTTTTCCTAATTTTTTTCTGGGCTGCCACGGATTTCAGGGCAATCACAGTGACAATCACTTGTCCCAAAACTCGTGCAGTTTTCAGCTTCAAAGAGGAGGTTTTTGAAGCGTCCAGGCGTGGTTCTGAAGGGTGATCTGGTTAATGCCAGGAGTAACTAGTAGCTTCTTGTTACTACTAGCGATGGCCTCAAACCTAATAGCGATGTCCTCCACCTAGTAGCTTCTTGTTGATCTGGTGGATTGAGGATCAAGGATTGACAAAAGAATCCTGTTTGATGCTCAGTAACACACTCTGTTGTCAGAGTGTGTTGCACAGCTGCTTTTGTTGGGCAGATGCCGTCCGATTCGAACCCAAGACCGTCCGATTCGGTGCTCTCGCGTCCGTCCTTGCGGCGATTCCCCGGTGTGGTCCCACAGGTCATGGATCGCCTCAAGCGGCTTTGGCAACACCTGGTGCCGGCCGCCGTGGGCGGAGAGGCGACTGAGTCGCGAGAGGTCAAGAGGTCACTGGAGTCGCGACTTTGGACCGAACCGGCATGACTTGCGTGGAAGGTTCTGTTTTAGGCTTCACATTTCAAGCGAACGGCATCGTTTTCGGGTGATGTTTGGTGTCCATTTTTCTTTGGACCTGGTTCACCGATGTGGCCGTTTGAGGGCTCCTCCTCCTCCAGCACCTCAGCGCCTCGGAAGGCGCGGTCAGGTTCCGGTCCGGGGCAGAAATGGAAGGATCGATCTCGGTTCCGTTCGTAGCTTCTTGTTACTAGTAGTAACAAGTGCATCGCTACTAGTAACAAGTGCCTTACTAGTAGTAACAAGAAGCTAGTAGAAACAATAAGCTAATAGCTTCTTGTTACTAATAGCGATGCCAGGAGCTACTAGTAGTGTCCTTGCTCCTAGTAGCGATGCCAGGAGCCCCTAGTAGCTTCTTGTTACTAGTAGGCATGAGCGAATATTATGTTCTTTTTGGCCCCGGGAGGGGTAGGCCCCTGGAGGTAATAGCTAGATGTAGCTACTAGCTGCAAGTAAGCTACTCTGAAGACACAAACCTCCCTTTCTGGAGGTGTGGTATGCACCATACAAGTTCGAGGCCTACGGCGAAGAGGAGACGACCGAAGTCGACCGGCCGAGATGCCGAAGTCGATGGGAGGGCAGTTGGCTGGTCCGCCTTCCCACAGTGGGACGGTTCTAGAAGGCGCTGATTCCAAGCTTTCTACGAGTTGTTTACTGCGTTTACTGAGCGAAGGCCACCAGTATTCTTTTGAGGACGCAACACAAGCTACTGTAGATGTTGAAACCTCCCACAATCTGGTGATTGCACAAAGAAGGTTGTGAAAATGCAATTGACCAGGTCAGCAGTTCGCTTGCAAACAGCTGTCCGGGTACGGGTGAAGCAGGCCACCAGGGTTCCTTCATTATTTCCACCCTCAGCAGATTGAAACATTCACAAAACCAGATATATCCAGTGTTTGGCCTCCAAAAGGTGTACAAAGCATGACAAACCGGACAAAAGCCTGGGAGAAAATGGGAGGTGTTGCATCAAATGTGGACCAAACCGAACAGCCTCCATACGCTCACCTCGACCTCCTGGACCGGTTGCGACTGCAGGAGATCGCCGCTGTGACCGCAGCCCTGAGGGATGGCTGGTTGGCCCCTGGCCCACGTGCGGTGCCGAGCGGAGGGCAGATGTGATGAGTTGAAAGTGGAGGTGTTTCTTTTAAAAATTCGGAAAGAGTGGTTTGAAATGGTTTGAATGTCCTCAAAATAACACCAGCTTCGGACCCCAAGTTTGGGCGGCCGCTTGATGGTTCGTTTTGCTCATGAGGCTTGCCAAAGCGTTTCTAAACAAGAATTGGAAGCCCTCACAGCAAAGTTGCTTTTCTTTATTGCAATAATAATAATAGTAGTAATAATGATCATATAGTAATAACAACAATAACAATAACAAAACATGAGGCCTTGATAGGCACCGCCGGCGCACATGCAAGGGCGTCATGGGTGCAGGTTTGCGGTTGATCAGCCACCCTTGGAGACCTCCAAGACCGAGGATTCGCACCCAAAGATGAACACGGACTTCTCTCTCTCTCTCTCTCTTAGGTTGGAGGCCATCGCTAGTAGGTTGGAGGCCATTACAATTAGCTTGGCCTCGAACGGTCAAAAGCTTGTTGCCATCGGTGAAGGCTTGATTAGGCTGCTTCCAAACATGAATCGCCCAGAGATCGGTCCGTCGGGTCTGTCGCCGGGAACCGTGGACATCCGTGGACCGGAGACCTTTGCCGTGAGGCACCGATGAGTTCGAGGCAAAGGTCTCTGAGCTCTTTGGAGACCCAACTGCAGAGGTGAGAAGGGAGGTGGGCCACATGAGTGGCCACGTGAGTGGGAAGAGCATCATCATCCCCTCCAAATGGAGGTCCCTGAGAGAAGTTTGGTGATTTCATTCGGTCAGTGAGAAGACAGGTGATTGAGAAAGAAAGCAAAGACCCATGAAGACCCGTGAAGGGGATGGCAATCTCTCTGGGGATGAAGCGACAAACACCTTGGATGTCCATATCAACGAGCTAGCACAAGGGCATTCAGTATGTCTAGTGCACGTCCTTCAGTATGTGCTCGTGGGGGTTCGGGTATTGCAACTTTGAAGATGTGAAGGCAGGATTTGGAGGAGAAAGGAATGTTGATGTTTGATTTGTTTGCATGGTTTGCTCTTCAGCGGTTTGTTTGTTTGTCATTTCTTCCTGAATGCTTGTGGATATGGATATGGGTGCTTGAAGGTTTAGCTAGTTTGGCTTCAACTTCATTCTTTCAGACATGCCTTGCTCCGCTTCACCAGCCGACTTCGGGACACCTTCGCTTTCAAAAGGGTCCCGTTAAGTCTCAACCTGGGACCGAAGCGGGTCCGAGGAAAGCGCTTTGGCGTGATGGTGAACTCCGGAAGCTCTGTGCCTCGGCCGAGGTTGGCACCTTGCTACTAGTAGCATCCTTGTTCCTAGTAGCAAGAATGCTCCTAGTAGTAAGGCCAGGAGCCCCTAGTAGCTTCTTGTTCCTAATAAGCCCGCTCCCCCCTCCTTAAATAAGTAAGGAATTGAGGTAACTAGTAGCATACTTAAGCTACTACTTAGGGCGCAGGATAGCTCACGCACTATTTATTTGGTTCCTAGATTTTTAGGGAAACTTAACTATAGCAATGGCCTTCAACCTACTAGCAAACTATACTATATGGTTGGCTTCGTTTTCGCCAGAGCGCTGTTTCTGGCAAAAAGAGGTACGATGGAGCAGATAACGTACTTGGCTGCATCGTGTGTAAAGGGTAAGGTTGTTCAGGCCCTAGCTGTCTTTAGATACTCAGGTCGTGGTAAATACCATGGCTTCATGATTAGTGTAAGTTGTGAAGCATGCAAACCACAGGCCCCTCTTATCAGAAGCCCATGGTTCTTATCCTTCGCAGCTCCACATTTCTTCGATGCTTTGATGGGCCCCTCTGAAGCCACGGGCCACTGGGGCCACCAAAGGAGCTGGGAACATCCGGCGTTCTTGCCAAGCAGCATGAAACGCGAATCCAAAAACACAAGAAAGAAATTTGACAACTGCACAAATTGATTAGATGATTTGGGTCGATTGGCTTTCCAAGAGCTGGTTGGAACATCTGGAAATGAAAAATGTCCTTGCTTTGAGTGATTTAAGCGTGTCAGCCAGCCCCATCGGTCAGAGCACAAGAGAACAAAGGGAACATGTTAGGCCACGGAACAAGCGCAAGTCCCATTCTCTTTCCCTTCAAAAACCAGTGAACATTGCGGAACGCGATCCAAGGGGAACATTATTGGCTTGGCAGCCTTAGGCTTGCAGCGAGGCGCGGCATCTCGCGAGCGGAGTGGACGCGGCGAGTCGGAACCGCGGTTGGAGTGTAGTAGCTTCTGAGAGGTGAAACCTGCCCCCTGTTCCGACTCGGAACGTGGGCTCTGTGGGAAACCATCTTGTGTAATGAAGTACAGATACAAAGAACTCCTGTGGCTTGCCAGTGTTCAATCTTTGAGGTGCTAAATTCTGGGGATTCAGATGAAGAATTTGCCCCGCAAAGAAAGGCTACCCTGCTCACCAGTTGTCCCCTCTGTCATAGAACAGGTTCTTTGCAGGAGGCAGGTTCCAGCGACAGGGAAGGTTCCAAATTTCACTGGTTCAGAAGTGATGTTACATGCCCCTGAATCCTGAATCCCTACACATTTGTTGATCTAGGGCAGGAGCGAGCTTGAAGAAGGGTGCTAGATTCTGTCATTGGATGGTACATGCCGAGCACTGGGAAGAATCAACCAGTCATGCCGCAGGTCACAAGTAAAAAAAGATGCGAGCAGGAAGTGTTGTGTTCAAAAGACATGAAAGTGGACAAAGCTCGAATATGCAAGGATAGATGTGCGAAACCTGGATTCTTATATATAGGTCGTTGTTCATCATGAGCAAGAAGAACCCTATGGCTTAAGGCTCCAACATACCACCTGACGTTCGACCAAGTGGCTCCCCATTGCGTCGGAATGTAAAATTAAACTTAAGTCTAATAGCAAACATTGTTACTACTAGTAAGGCACCTGTTACTACTAGCGTGGCACCTGTTACTATTGAAAAAAGAAACACGCAAGAAAAAGTTACTACTAGTAACAAGTGCCTCGCTAGTAGTAACAGGTGCCTTACTAGTAGTAACAAGAAGCTATTCGACTTAAATTTCATTCTAAATTAAATTACTAGCTTCTTGTTACTAGTAGCGATGCACTTGTTCCTAGTAGCTTCTTGTTACTACTAGCGTGGCACCTGTTACTACTAGTAAGGCACTTGTTACTAGTAGCGATGCACGTGCAACTAAGAAACATGCAATCGACCTACAGAAACCAAGGGCATCGCTATTAGTAACAAGTGCCTTACTAGTAGTAACAATGTTTGCTATTAGAATTAAAGTTAAAATTAGATGTTAAAAAAAAAAAATAGATTAAATTAATAGCTTTTTGTTACTACTAGCGTGGCACTTGTTACTACTAGCGTGGCACCTGTTACTACGCAATCGACCTACAGAAACCCCCACAGGCGACGAGGTCATCACGCCAGCATGTTGGGGAGCTCGGGGGAAGATGTCGAAGCGCTTTTTCGACCCAGCGCTTGGGCCATGGATGCCGACGGTGCGTCTCTTATGTTCTTTTTATTTTGCCATAGATGCCATTATGGCATGTACTGTGTATATATAGACCAGTGGTGACTATACCAAGTCCTGATATGTTTGGTTCGGAAAAAAATGGTGCGAGGACGGATTAAGGGTCTCGCTATTAAAATACACATCCACATGTTCCAGCCTTGATTGGCACCAGCGACCGGTATTTTCTTGGGCATGGATCTGTCGGTACCAGAGCAAAACCTGCAATGAATTCGACCACATACGTCACATACCACAGAAACTTTGAACCCTTGATCAGGCCTGGAAACCCCAAAATCAAAAAATGTCCCCTTGGATCACCGAATTCGCCTCGGATCGTCCCCCACTTCCCAAGTCACCCAAATCATTAGTGTGGGTCCAAAAGCCAAGGCCACAAATCGGCCGTAGAATGGGGAGGATTCCATTCGTGGTGTGTTCGCAAGAAAAGATGAAAAAAGATGAGAAGAAGAAAGAACGAAAGAAAGAAAGTTCCAAAGGTCAAAAAAGAAAAGAAAAGAAAGAAAGCTACTAGTAGCTTCTTCTTACTAGTAGTAAGGCCAGGAGCCCCGATCGTAGCGAACCTTGTTCCTAGTAGCGATGCCCTTTGTTACTAGTAGCTTTATTGTTCTTAGTAGTAAGAATGCTCCTATCAGCGATGCCAGGAGCCCCTAGTAGCTTCTTGCTCCTAGTAGTAAGGCCAGGGGCCCCTAGTGGCGTCCCTGCTCCTCAGTAGCGATGCCAGGAGCCCCTAGTAGCGATGCCCTTTGCTCCTAGGAGAGACTTTGACTTGACAAGTCGTTCATGTCGACTTGTGAGGCACCTTCGCCACCTGCATCGCGCCCATGGAGCAGCTGGGGTTGCTCCACTGAAATTGGTCGGTGGACGTCGGTGGAACTGGTGGAAACTGAAAACATGGTGAAACATGGTGAAAACGTGAAAACAATGGATGCACAAGGGAACACGAGCCTTAAACCTGCATCGCTCATATCAACCGTTGGTACAAGCAACTCACCTCATGTTGGATGCTGGATGGCAGTTTGAACTGCCAGGGCAAACCTGTTGCTTTTGCTTGCTTTGGGGCGTACTATCTTTGAGAAGACGAATGTTTGTCAGCGCATCGGCGCATGTTGAAGAAAGTAAGAAAGGTTTGTAGGTCCAAAGAACGTCAGAGAAAATGAATTTATAAGTCTGTGAGGCAGAAGATGTTTACCGTCACAGCACCTGCAGGTTGACGCCGGTCTTCATAGACGTGATCCCCAACCGCTATGTGCCTAGCGTCGAGCCTTGGGAGCAGAAGTGTTCCGTCAGCGTCATGTTTTGGGCATTGGATGGACTAAGACAGCCTCGTGTCAGCACAGCGGGCTCTTGGCAGATGCAGTGATTTGCAGGATTGCAGGATTCTAAGCCTAGAGGAAAGTCATCGCTGATACAGTAGTAGCATTCATCAGAGTTCATCAAGAAGGTGCCCTTTTGCGTCAAACATGATTCTTGCTCTTCAGAGTGGAGAGTCTTTCTCATACCAGCCGTTCTTTGGAATCTAAGCTTCTTGTTACTACTAGTAAGGCACCTGTTACTACTAGCGTGGCACCTGTTTCTACTAGCTTTTTGTTACTACTAGTAAGGCTGTGAGCCTGAAACCAAGGAAATGGTCTTAGCAGCTGTGACCCCGAAGACAAAGTGCCTTGCTCATTGAGGGCTGAGTCCAGGGAAGAAGTTGCGTTCTCGCGGGTGGCTTGGCCACGGGCGTCGTTGGCCACTCCCCGATGTGATGATGCCCTTGTTCCTAGTAGCTCTATTGCTCCTAGTAGCGATGCCAGGAGCCCCGTTCGAACGTCCGATCGCTCCGTTCGTAGCGATGCCCTTGTTCCTAGTAGCAGACAGAAAGCAAAAGACGAAATGAAGCATACCTCTTTGGGGCCACAAGAACTCAATCCCGTCCTACAAAAGATGTCAAAAGCGTCCTAGGAGAAGACAGGAAAATCACTGGGATCGATACAACTGCGTTATCTCAGGTGCATCTTCATCCCCAACCTGGCCGGTAGCAAGATCGACTGGGCAGAGCAACTGGGCTCAGAAGATCCCAGACCACGACAGGGAACATCGAAAAAAAAGGAAAGAAAGGAACGAGGATCCAAAGAAAAGACCCTCCGGTGGTGGACCTAAGACTTTGTGCTACGAACGGAGCGATCGGACGCTACGAACCGGGCTCCTGGCCTTACTAGTAGCAAGGTGCCTTACTACTATAGGAACAAGAAGCTACTAGGGGCTCCTGGCCTTACTACTAGGAGCATTCTTGCTACTAGGAGCAAGGTTCGCTACTAGGAACAAGGACCACTAAACTTTCAGCAACCAGCTTCGCTACTCCAACCACCCCCTTCTTGGCATCGCCAAACAGAAGAATTGGTTCGCCTCCGGCATCGCGCCAGTGGGTTGGAACCCTTTGGGGGTTGATGGATTTCTGCGATACTGAAATATGAGGAACGGAAGCTCTTAACTCAGACCTGTCAGTGTGTGTGTGTGCGAGAGCTTTGTAAATGTTGGAAATGAGAGGTTCCGACTCAGTTTACAATTTGAGGTTCTATGTGGGAGTCCAGTTCGCTTCCAGAACCCCTTCCAGAACCCCTTTTCTGCCCGCCTCCGACCATCGAACAGGTTGAGGAGACGAGTGCCAGATCACATTTGGCTTTTTGAGGACCGCCGGAGCCGAATAGAACAAGAAGCTACTAGTAACAAGTGCATCGCTACTAGTAACAGGTGC